TGGGAGAGGAAAGCTGAGGCTTTTGGGCTTTTTAAGTTCAAGGATCTGTATACCTGCAGTGCCTGGGGAAATCAGTGGTGCTGTGGCATCGGTCTCAGCTGCACCCAGATCCATGTTTTTCTTCCCTGTTAGCAGAGGAGGTTCAGAGAGATTGTGCTCTCGCATTTTTCCCTGCATATGTCCTGCTCCACTGAAATTGAGCTACAAATAAGCCTGCTAAGAGTCAGCAGCAATGGAAACCCCATGCCTTGTCTTTAAGATGCTGCTCTTGGGTGATTTGAAGATGACTTTCAAAAGACAACAAAGATACAGTGCCAGAGGAGACTTGACAAATGTGGAATTGACAGACAGTTTTGAAAATAAAAGGTAGGGAGCTTCTGTGATAAGGGCTTGACTAAGCTTCTGGGAAATAAAAAGGAAAACTGCACTGGGGCAGAGTAGAGGACTTCAATCTGATGGGGAGAAATGGCAAGAGAAACTGAATGAAGAAAGGATATCTAAGGAACGAAAAGTATTTAGAAAAAAGGTAGGAAAAAAAGAGACTATGAAAAAGGACGAAAGACAAATCTTGAGGAAAGAATGGGACCAAGAAAGAAACTTCCAGATTGTGAGGACTGCAGATAGGTAATGAAATTAGAAACGGGGGTACGTTTTCCTCCCAGGTGTACTGTCTGTCCTACTGATCTCTGAGCAGTGGTGAGTGGGATGTGGAAATTATAGCTGCAACAGCAGACTAAGTTTTGTGAAAGGACAGCAGATGAAGTTTGTAGATACTTTGTGTATGTGAGCTTTAGATTCAAATGTCTTTAGTGCTAGAGTTTAAAAAGTTGCTGACCTAGACTTTCCTGAAGACTCTGATTTCCAAATAGTACAGACAATTGTCTGTATTCTGCAATCTTTATTTTGCAACAGTGCTGGGACACCATGGAAGTGGTGAGGGAAACAAACCCATTTTATGTATTTGCTGGGAGCTGATGATGATCTAGTTCAGCATGAACTTTATACTTGCCTCCGGAAAATGCCCAATTTGAATACCCTGCCTTGATCAAGGGATGTAATGCTTGCTACCTGTGGCTAAGGCAAAACACGGGCCCTGTTTTCTCTTCTAGAATGTCTTGGGGATGAAGAGATGAGTTCTGCTGCGGGTTGCATGTTAGTAGTTAGTGTAGAGTCCACCCAGCTGTTTGTGTCCTGGCACACTTTTCCACAGTTTCTCCTCCTCCTTATTCTCCTTTGCTGGCCTATGAACAGGCAGGATTGCCTCATTTTGAGAAGGCCAGAAGACACAGTTGGAACATATAGCTGACTTGGGGGGAAAGGCAATTTAAAACAACACAGAGCAATCTTGTGTCAAGATTGTTCCCTTGTGCTTGTAGACATGCTTGCTCTACCACCACAAATGCTTTTTTTTTTTTTTTGCTTTTCCAAAGCACACTATACTTGTTCATGTAGGTGTCAGTCCACTGTTTCTTCTGCGTAATTTTGACTGCCAGGGTCTTTGGCACTGAATTATTTTCAGCACTGTATTTTGGTACCAAACCTGTTCTCTGGGCTGTCATGTGCTTCTGTGTAGCTGGGCAGGAGTGAATTGTTATAGTACTCGTGCATAAACTCGTGCAAATGTGTAACTTGACATGGTCAAGGACTATATGAAATAGATGCCTGCTGCTAATGCATCAAGGGAAAGTGCTTTTGTTTAGAGATGTTAGCAGGGATATTGCAGATGTGGGGTGCAGCATCTCCCCCAGGTCTGGAAGGCACTGTGGTGTTCAGTCTTCTGTCAAGAAATGCAAGATCCAAGCTAATTTGTCTTTAAGATGTACAAGGAAGTGACTGAATACTGTAATTTTCAATCCCTTTTGAATTTTAAGCTTCTGTATTTGCTTTCCAAATACTTTGATCTTCCCCAGCTCCCACTTGTCCAGACCGTGCTGATAACAATCATTGCAAGCTCTTTCCTAGCCTTCCTTCTTATTCTGCAATCTGGAATGAAATTCAACTGTATTCTCCATAAATAACCTTTCTCATCCCCCAGCTGTCTTCTAGAGCTAGTTTTCTTCTGACCTCTTGCTCACTAACTCTGAACTGACCTTGCACTTCCCCCATGGCCCTAATCTGCCAGTGTCTATGCTCCTATTTTTCCTCTACTTTTTTACGCTGTTTAATTTTCTGAATAATTGAGCTGCCCTTCAGCAAATCAGCTTGAGCCAGGCCCTGTATCTGCAAACAGAACTCCTGTAGTACGGTGAAAAATGGGCACTGCTTGTGATGGTTTAGATATTTCTATCTCTTCCATCCAATTTGAAGCTACAGGTAAAACTATACTTTCAACAGTATTTATCTATTGGCAATAAAAAAAAAAAAGTAGCCATGTCCTCAAATTTAAGAGAAAATAGCTAATGCTTGTACCAGTTCAAATGCCATTTTCTATCTTTAGCTGATAGTGTAGCAACAACGGCAGTGATTTCTCAATGGCTTAATGACTGTTAAAGGCTCATCTCATCCTCCCATCTGAAGCAGTGTGAATTCTCCTTAGACAAATTTGCAAATGTATATTTAGTTTTTGTTGTTTGAGGTTAGGCTCTAGATCAGCATAATCAGCAATAACCTGCCTATGGTTAGTGTAGGAAAACTTATGAAAGAGAGCAGAGAGGTTGTGTGCACTGTATCTGCATGGGTGCTTTGTTTTGTCATGCTGCTGTTATGGGATGTTGAACAAAGCATTTTTCCCCCCTGGTATTTGTTTGTCATTTGGATAAACTGTGAATAGTGTTTGAATGTGAAATACTGCTCTCATCTCTGTGTAGCTGCAAATCAAACCTATTTGTTTCACAAGGAGAAGGCTTAACTGTAGGTGTCAGCACTGCAAGCTGAATGTGGAGCGCTGAAAATGAAGCCTTGCTGTCTCTGGCTCCCTGAGTGCCACTAGGAATAAAGTGCAGTGTAGTTTTGCAGACAGATCCATTAAGGCTGAAGAAGACAGGAGCCCGTGCTTGCGGCTGATGGCACAAATAGGAGCTGCGGTGTTCTCTTCTTCTGCAGCTTCTTTCCAGCCCCTCTGAAGTGTGTTCTTATCAATGGGATCTAGTAATGAGAAATCTAGCGTAAAGAAGGAATGAGGATGAGATTCCTCTCCAAACAACGCCCGCTGCTCCAAGCACGTACGTCAAGCCTTTTCCTTCATCTGTTATCGAGTGCTTATCTGAAGCGGGCATCCCAAGTGAGAGCGCGGGCAGCCGCAGCCATTCCTGCTCCTGACGGGCGGAGTTAACGGGGTGTGTGAAGCTGGTGAGGTGGCAGGGGGAGCGGGGAAGGAAAGACTTCATTTCCCAGCCCTTAGCCCTACCCGTTACAGGGAACAAAAGCATTTTGGTGGTGCTGTGGTTATGCTGAAACGCAGCGTCCCTTGGAAAGCGCTGCCCGGCCCTGCGTGGCGCTCCCGTCTGCTGTGTGAATGAGGAGCCGCTTTTGGGCACATCTCTTCTCCGTCTTTGCTGAATGGCGACCCGGTGGCGCGTTTCAGAGCCAGAGTACTGAGGAGTGGGCGGTGAAAGGGGCCTATGGAGCTCCCGCAGTCCAACCCCCGACGTTTTCTCTCTTCAGACCCCGCAGCCCTGCGGCGCGCCTTTCCTCGCCCCTCCGCGCCCACCGCCCGCAGCTCAGCGCGCGAGGCGCACGCGGCGGTTTAAAGTTCGCTCCCGCGGGCGGGGCCGCGGCGCGGCGCGCCATTGGTGGGGCGCGGCTCATTTGCATTGACGCCAGCGCGGGCCGGAGGTCAGCGCCGGCGGCTGCTTTTATTGGCTCCGCCGCGCCGCTGTCAAGCGCGGGGGCAGCGCGGGCGGGGGGGGCGGGAGGGGTGGGGAGGGGACGGGCGGCTCTGGGCGGGCGGGGGGGGGTGAGAGCGCCGCCGCATCGCTACAACCAACGGCGGGTGCGGAGCCGGAGGAGGCACTTCCCTGCTGCGAGGGACGCCGGCCCCACGGCCCCGGGAATTAGGGCTGTCGCCGCTGCAGCGCTTATCCGTGGAGATGGGACTCTAGGATCGCTTTCTGCTACTTCTCGCTCTTTTTCTTTTTTTCCTTTTTTATTTTTGATTTTCTTATTATTTCATTTTTAATCGTTTCCTCGCCTCGTTCTGCCGCCCCACGCCTTCCCCCCAACATGGAGGCCCTTTGATGCCTCCGCGGGCCGCCCCCGCCGCCCCGGCCCGGCCGCTGAGCGCTGAGCTCCGGATGCCGCTGCGGCGGGCGGGACGCGGCGTTCTGCCTGCGGCCACCGCGAATGTCACCGCCGCGGCGTGAGGGGCGCGCGGGGCGCCGGGGCGGCTCTCGCCCCACGCCGTCGTTCCGGTGATCGTTTCGGCCGCCCCGAGCGCAGCGCGGCGCCCAGCGGGACCCGGCGGACGCAGCGCTGTTGGCGGGGAGCGCGGAAGACGCGGTGGGGAGCGGTTCCCCCCCCAGGCCCGGGTTAATCGGTAACGCCGTGCGAACTCAGGTGGAAAATGCGCCGTGCTCCGGACTGAGAGGGAGGAACGGTGCCGTGTCTCCGGCCGCGCTGAGCCGACGAGACGCCGGGCTGTGCGTGCGGCTGGGGCTCGCGTTTTTGTGACCTCCCCCATCGATTCCCTCCTTTTTTTTTTCTTCTTTTTTTTTCTCTTTTTTAATTTTTTTTTTTTTCCTCACCCCCAGAAGGAAAGCGAAGCCAAGCTTTCAGATGGCTTAGCAAAATCCCTAACGCCCTGTGACACCATGACGCCGGCCCGCTGCTGACCGCCCCCCGCCCGCTGCCGGGCCGCCGTCACCGCGGAGCCGCGCCCGGGGCCGAGGAGCGCAGAGCCGATCCCGGCGGTGCGGAGGGACCGATGGCAGCGACCCGGCGGGGAGCCGAGCCGCGGGACTCGGCCCGTTAGCAAACCCAGGCGGGGGGAACGTACCAACGGGAAGGAGAGAGAGAGAGATACGCGTGTATATATCTCATATATACAATTGAGAAGTGTTCCCCAGGTGGCCACAAAGCATGGGCTGTGCTCCAAGCATCCACATCTCTGACAGCAGAGTGGTCTATCACAGTAGCAAAGAGTCTGAGGAGTGCCATTCCCCTCACCAGACCAACACCACCATGTCTCAGCAGCAGCAAGGCAACCCCGTCCCGGGATTATTCATTAAATCCTCCAACACATCCACTTATAAAGTGAGGACTAATTCCTCTAAGAAAGACAAGAGGGAGAACAGCCAGAGCATGGAGGCAGAGACCCAGACCAGCAGATCCAGTGTTAAGGTAAAGGGGTGCGGACCACGAGCGCCGTTTCTCCCACTGAAGTCACACATTGCGGAGCAGCTTGTGCTGCTGGAGCTGTCAGCATTTGTTTAAAACTCATGAGCCCCACAAACGGCTCTGGTGCTGTTCTGTAGCATGCTGGGCTCTGCGGGCCGGGAAGCGGACGCTGGGGGTGCCTCACAGCCACCAGGCCTGGGGCTCACCTTGGTGCTGGGGTGGGCTGCTGGGTGGAGGGGGGCTTCAGGTTGTGTGCTGGGTGCTCTTTACACTAACAACTTGTTGACCTTGTCTGTTGCTGCAAGTAGTGTGGTGTTTTAATTTTTTTTTTTTTTTGGCGTACCTTTTAGTGTGCGTACTTTCCTGTAGGGATGTAGCATCAACCCTGTAAGAAATCAACAGGCACATACTGAAAAAAATTGCATTTCAATTTCGTGACTGTTTTAGAGTGTTCATAGTGCAGTGCTTGCTCGTCTGCATCCATACCATTGGTGCACCATTGCTTTACGTGTTATACTTCCATTCCTAATGCTGCCGGCTTTGAATGTTCCACATTTTCTCTTCTTGGGGGGAGCTGTCTCTATTTCTCCGAAGTAAATTATTGCAAATGTTAAAGGAAAGTATAGCACCCCAGGGATGTTGTATAACATGGCTGATCTGCCCTGGGCTGCTGTGATAAGCGCTGAGATACGCACGCTGTCAATAGGAGATAGGGGCTGGAGGTGCAGCAGGAGCTCACACAATGTCAAGTGCTTTGCACACACACAGATACCAACAATTCGTATCTTCCTTGGGAATTTTACGTGCTCAGGAGGAGTACTGGCCTGAAACAATTTTCCTCTGTGCTGTGGGGGATTTTCTTCAATTGTTTTCCTCCAGATTTACTAAGTTCAGTTCATAGAAGCTTTAAAAAAAAAAAGCTGTGGGAGATGGGAAGACGTTGTGTGAAGCGAGTTGGAGGAATGAGCGGTACCTCATAGCCAGCACACCAAGGTCGGCTGCGTCAGAGGAACCTCAGGTTTTGTGTAACGCCGTGCAGGAAGCGGAGCGGGACGGCGCTGCTCACACGCGGTGCTTGTGCTTGTGTGGCACACAGCGTGGTTGCTCTGCTCACAACCCTCACCATTGTTTTGCCAGCTTTATTTTTAATCGTGATTATAACTGCGCCTTTCAGAAACTGAGCAACAGAAATATTCTTAGATTTTATGTTGTGTGATTTTTGTCTTTGTGTTCGGTGGGGGGGGAATAAACAACTCCAAGATCATCTTCTAGAAGCCTGCGCATGGGAAGAGGTCTTAATTGTGTTTGAATTTTGTTGTTTAACTGCAGGCACTTTGTAACAGCCCTTGTTACTTGGTTTAGATAACCCGGCCAGGTGCTGTGTGTTTGACTGGGGCTCCTTGCTGTGATCTCATGGGCAGCTATTCTGATTTTCATCACTCAGTGGTTTTCTGCCCTTGTCATCACTCTGAGCACATTGCTTGGGTTTTGGGAAGTGAGAATGGAATTCTGTTTGTGGTCAGTCGAGTACAAAATCTGATTGAAACATCCCCTCTGTGTGATTTATACGTGTAAAATCCTACTCTTCAGAGATACAAGGCAGCACGGTACTTCATTCTCTGCTTTTATCGTTAAGCATGTTTATCATGATCAGATTTATGGATTTACAGTCCGTACTGTGCTGGAGTGTAACCATGTTATTGCAGAAGTCGTGCTGCAGAGAGCTACATTTGACAGCAGCTTTCACAATAGAGTGCTGTTGTTTGAAGCCAGGAGGGTCATAGGGCAGCTTCTGGAGTTAAAGGAATTTTTGGTGTGAGAAGGAACTGAGAGAATTTGGGTGCTGCTGCATAGAGCACACAGTGTGTTGTGGCACCTGGGGTACCCTCATCCTAACTGCAGATGCTGCATTCCTTTTGTGCCTTGAGGGTCTAATCAGCATTTGTGTGAATGGCCAGTAACCTGCCTTTTTCCCATTGTTTCGTGGCACTTTGATTGATTTCTTTCTCACTCTCGTTATTATGCTCAAATTAAAGCTAAGGAAGTCCTAGATGAGAGCTAAGAACAAAACTTGATCCATGTGTAAATATCATGTTGTCACTTCAGCTGACAACAGCATGAATTTAAAATAAGCATAATAGGTAATACAGTGACTTTTATTGCATTGGTTTGGTAGCAATAGTGCACGTGTCAAAGGAAGAAATAACCCACACTGATTGTAAAATGGCCTTATTTATATTGCTCATTAGCCCCCAGACTTATTCTGGTTTTATGGTTATGTCTTGTTAAATCTTTGTACTGTTCAGATAGCGGTGGATCATTTGCCAGGGTGTGTAGTGTGAGTGTTGTGTGATTTGCATTGATTTACAACCTGTAGCTAAAAAATTGCCTGCTGTTTTCTAATAAGGAGAAGCCTAAATTTATCCATAGTAAACATGCAGGAAACTCCTGAACGCGCCATGCACAGAGATCAATGCTGCAATATCTGCTCCCCGTATACATGAATGTGGCAATAGTGTGTGATAAATGGAGAAGTCTTTATAATAAAATGTTTGGTCCTGGTGCCTGCATGTCCCTCTTTAATTAGTAATTTCATATGTGGCTTTCATTTGAAAATTTATGAGCAGCTTGGAAGCAGTGCTGTATCTGAATGGTGAACCAGCCGTGAAACCCTTCCCTTAGTTTTCAATGCACAGACTGCACAGCTTGAACTCTGTACTTTTCCCAGTGGAAGATGAGCAAGATTTACACAGTAATAGCACTGTTGCAAAGGAGAAGTTTACTGATTTTTTTATTTATTTTTTTTCCAGCTCTAGAAGTCTGAAGATTGTGAGTTGACAGCCTTTTTGTATATACCATTATGATTTGTTTCTTCAGACTGCTGTGAAGCTGAGTTTGTACTGAGGGTGCTTAGCTGTACACAAATCTGCTTAAACACTTTCCAAGCAATAGCTCTGTTAACATATAGTACAGGTAAGGACTGGCATGGTGTAAGGACCTCATGGGCATGTATTTAAAACTGGCTTGATGTCTGTAAGCCTGTGCTGTCCCAACAACACGTGTCAGTGTCACTCTTCCACAGTGCATGGCTGCACACTGCGGTGCATACGGCGCACTTATTTTGCCCCCCGTTCTTTTATGTATGTGATTTCCTTCCTCTTCTCTTGTGTGACTCTACCTGTCATGTATATTTAACTCAGAAATGCGTGTTTGAGTGCAAGGGGATCAGAGAGTAAATCCATACTTCCTTTATTGTAAATTCACGGTTGCCGTAAGCCAGCAGGACTAGATCTGCCGTAGCCTTTTGATTGATCAGCTGATGTGGGGCACCGCTTACACCCATGGTGCCATAGCACCATGTTTTCTTTGCTCGAAACCTGCAAAACTGTGAGTTTTACAGTCACTGCAAAGCAATGGTTGCATAATTCTGCGTTCAGGAGGACGTATGCTGACTTGTACTTTCAATGCTGAAATGGATCTCACTTTGGCGTTTAGCAACACACTATTTAGTCTGTTAAGCCATCTGTTCTTTTCCTGCCTGTCTGGCGATTCCTTCCCCTTGCACCATATCAGCTCTCCCTCCTTTGAAACTCCCACACTCTCGGTCCCTGCTTTCAGCGAGGCCACCCGACCCTCCCAAGCCCTCCCTGTTCCCATTGAAGCTGTCCTCAACCATTTCCCCGACAAACCTCCTGGCTCTGTCTCCCTCCCACTTCCACTGACGTCAGCCCTCCCGTGCAGAGATCCTTGCTCTGCCGCGAGGATCCTTCCCACACTGCCATACACTGGCTGTGCTCAGCCCCACGGCTCCGTTCTCCCAGGCTGACAGTCGCGGTGCTTTTATTTCAAGGCACGAACCCTTTTCTCCAGGGAATGGAGAGGTCGAATTTGTAAATTATACAAAGTGAACCGAAGGAGCGACGTGAACTTTCCACATTCGTGCCTGGGTTATTTTTTTATCTTCACCTTTTAATTTCCTGTTGTTTGTAATGTCAACTGGAAAAGAACTGGAAATCACTCGTGGCGTGTATCTCACCTCTGTGAAAGTAGCCAAAGATGTGCTTTCGATTTTTAAACCATTATCACTAGATCCCTTCTGGTCAGGCAGACCATCAGCAAAATGTGCTGCTGCACCTGAGGGCACTTCTGTGTGTGAGTGAGATGAGCCAGGTTAGAGCCTGCATTTTTGCAGTGCTTACTGTTGGTGGAAGCTCTGCTGAGTCTTCTTTCAGCTGTTAATTCTTGCTAGTCACAAAACACTGCCATCTCTCTGTCCTTGCTACATCCCTTGCCTGGCTTTGCCAAGTTTAACAGCTTTAAGTTGTCTGCCACCCAAATGTGTTGGTAGATTAAGTATTAAAAACACATATTTATTTCTATGGTTCTAGTTATTTGTCTTGCTGTGTTGCACTTTTTGTAGAGCTGATGTGAAAATGAAGTCCATCCTCAGTGAGAAATTTTCACGTTGGATGTACTTACAAGATGGGCAGAAGAACGAGAGGTGGTGCACTTAGCAGTTCTCCATCCCTTCCCACATTTCCAGTGTTACACGTGGTGTGAAACGGCAGTGCAAGGGACCAGCATAGCCTTACCATTTAATGTGCCAGCCAGGCACTGAAGTTATTCCACTTTTTGAGCAGCTAGAATGCTGACTGACTTTCAGATAAGTCCTCAAAGAGGAAATATGTATTTAGGGATACGGACAATTGAAGCTCTTATTAGCTTGCTACAAAAAAAGTGAACGAAAAGCAAATCTTATAATGAGCAGCTTGCCCTCAGGGTGAAGCTGTTTCAGTGGAAGCTTTGCACAAGTCAGGGCTGTCAGGGGACCCTACATGCACCTGCACACCTGGAGAACAGTTTAGTAATGTGTTCTGGGTGGGTTGTGTGTACGGATACAGTGTACCACATTGCAAACAGCTTTACCAGCCGTGGCTGGAGTTAAATCCTTGCAGAGATGTTTTCAAGATTGCACGTAAAATGTGATTTTACATCCAAAGTGC